TTTATTATTGACATTTATGATAAAATATGAGTTTGTTTGGATGCCAAACAACAAATAAATGAAGTCTACTGCTTTCTTTCACATGTCACCAGATGGTTCATTTTAACTTTAGATGACACGATATTTCTTCCACCTTTACATAAAGATGGTCCTAAGAGCCTGATGCCAGTGTCTTTAACATTTTTACTCGCACTCCTCATTAACAGCAGCAGTGTCTCCAACATGCTGTTCTCCATTTAAAGGTGAAGCTTCAGAAGTCGTCGCCTTCGTGTCCTTAATTGCAAGAAGAAGAAGAATCCTGTTCTGCTCCTCCAGGAGTCACAGGACCAATCAGGGACTCTGCTTTTTAAAAACTAGAGAATGTAAAACACTCATAAGGACCACTTGTATACAAATACAACTAAACTTTTCCCCCATTTTTTTCCGGCCTACATTTTCTATGATTCCATATTTTGACACGTTTCATTTGTCTTCATAATAAGAACATGTTAGTTGTAAACGATGAGTTCTAAATATATAGTGTGGGTACCTTTGTAATGTGAAAAAACAAAGAAAACTCTTCTCCTTCCACGCAGAACGTGTCATTTAACATCAGAAGCTAAAGTTCTCAAATATATGAAGTCGTTTAAACTCAGTCGGATCAATAAAACGCCAAAATGATCTCTTAAATCTAAATAATCTGATTAAATAAAGAAGATTCAGCAACTATCCAGTCGACTATTTACTTACAATATTTGCAGAAAAATGTTGAAAGAAACTGTCTGGATGACAACAGAACATTACAGGAAACCCTACAGTTAGATTAGTGCTGGAACTCAAGATTACCTTCATATTTGATTAAACTGTTGAGTTTTCTCAGTTAATCATTTGTTTGATGTAAACAAAGTCAGAAAAAGGTGAAATAGTGTCTCCAAAGCTCTGCTCGAGTGTCTTGTTTCATCCACAACCCAAAGATGTTCACGTTTGCCGTCAGAGGAAGAATAAAAGCAGAAAATATTCACATTTCAGAAGCTGTAAACAAAGAATTTAGATGTTTTATCTTTAAAAAAAATTGCACAAACTGATTCACAATAGCAATAATCGAACATGAATGCAGCTCTACAATAAAGTCTCACAAACTCTATCAACGTTATTCTGGCAGCAGATGAATAATTATGTGGTGATCTGATGATGGTGGAAGAGAACACAGTTCAGCTGACTGTTAGTTTAACATCATTTCATCCCAGTAAACCTGCGTCACCTGTTCACACGTCACCGGCTGCAAATGAATCAGCGTCTGGTTTTAAAAGTCAACCGAGCCACTAACTCTCATCCTGACAGGCGATCTGAGACGCTCACCGCTTGTTACACCTTTAAGAGACTCTGGAGGAAAACGCTCGTCCACCATCATCATTAAACCAACAGTTTGCCCACTCAGTCAGTCTGCTGCTGCTGCTTCACAGCCACCAGAGACTGCTGCTGTGTAGACAACATGCTCGACTAGCACCTCGTTAGACCCTCAGAGCACAGAATTTAATCCACATCTCACATCCAGCGACCGAATACCAAACCTGAGAAGATGCCTGGTTGGTGACATGAGCAGGTTTTTAAAGGCGTTGCTTCTAAACTTGGACTAAACACTGAAATCTTACAACAAATGCATTGACAATATCAACCGGACTGCTATAAATGTCTCCCGTCGAGCCATTAAAACTGACTTTATTAAAACTGTCACTGGAAAACTGTGACAAGATCCCCATATTCAGGCCTCTGGCAAAATAATGTGAGTTAAAAAAAAGAAGGTTTAAGTGTCCCGTCAGATCTGGTGATTTCATTCATCCAGCATTTATTGACATGTTTAGGATAAAAATAGATGGAAAACAGTTCAAGAATGCTGATAGTTGACACCTCAATGTGAAATATTCTGGTTACAGGCCTCTGAATTACTGTAAACATCTGTTGGGTTTCACTCCGTATAATCATACGAACAGTGAGGTTGGATAAAGATAAAAAAGGTAAAATTCTTGATAGAAAACTAATTTTTAAGGCTTTTAGATCCTACAGTTGCTGCCTAATATGTGTTAAAGTTCACAAACAACAGCTTCCATGTGTAACTGGAACCGGCATATAAAGGTGAAGTCAATTAAAGCCAATTGAAAATACAAAAAAAGTGTTCTCTCCATCCCAAACTGAACTTTAACAGTAAAGAAAATCTGTGTGTTTAAATTATAAAGAACTTTTGGCATTATGTGTATAACTACACATAATAAAACAAACCCACAATATGAACATAAACCTCCACACAGTGTCATAACCAGCCTCATGAAGAGCATCTAAATGAACACGCAAACAGATTCAAACTTTACAACATGAAGAAGTGGAAATATACAGAATGTTCTGAGTGTGAAACGCGTTTTTCTGTGTAGTCCTCCCAGAGTTTGGTGCCCTCCAGCCTGTCAGAGAGCTGGAGGAGGTTCCTCCAGTCTTTTACAGTTTTTAGTCCTTATTTTTTACTCCACCACCAGCTCAAACTCTTCTGCCTCCTCAAACTCTGCGTTCATCTGCGCAGCCAGGCTGTCCAGCTCCGTGGAGTCGATCTGCTGGACCTTCCTCCTCCTCCGCTTCTCCTTCACCACGGCCACTCCGGGGATGTTCAGGTCCGGCTCGGGGAAAGCCGCACCACCGTCCTCGGCCTCCAGCAGCGACGTGAAAGAGTTCAGACCCGACATGGACCCAGAAACCTCCAAGGCTCCGGCCTTGGACTGCTCGGGTCTCCGGACCACCTCGGGGGTCTTTAGCTTCTCGAAGCCGAATAAAGTGTCCCGGGAGTCGGGGCTGGAGAAGGACTTGTCGCTGAGCCTGCTGTAGGACCGGCGGACCTTCTGCGACCACACCGCGTCCTCTGGATCCGGCTGCGGGGGGAGAGAAGCCGGCGGCGGGGAGGACGCGAGGATCGGTGAGGGCATAGCGGCCTGTTTCTTCTTCTTCTTAGCCGAGGAGGAGCCGCTGCGGTCCGGGACAGGACCCGGGGTGGAGACGCGCTCTTCCTTCTTCTTCTGCTGCTGCTGCTGCTGCTGCTGCTGGACGCCCACCGAGGCCGACCGCCGCCGCCTCGGGGAGTTCTCCTTGTCGTTCTCCGACGGTGCGACGGTTTTCCTGGGCGCTATTTTCCTCACAGTGATGGAGCGTTTCACAGCCACCGCCATTTTGTTGTCACTTTTAGCCTCAGTCTGCGGAGGAGAGTTCAACCGCGCTGACCGCCTTCTCTGCGAGCCGTCCAGGTTGTTCGACTCCGCCATCACGGTTCGAGGCGTCCCTTCCTTCATTTGGAACTTTTTCCGATGAAACAATAAATCTCTCTTTTGCTTTTCTTCACGATCGACGCGGCAGAACGTGAACACAAGTTCCACAACAGCAGCAGCGGCGGTCCGTTCAAATTGCCCGCCCGAGTCGCGCAGAAAACACGACACGCTGTTTCCTGGTGACGTCGGCAGCGTGCGACAGACAGCTCAAACTTTTGCTGTGTAATCCGTACAGGCGAGGCTAACACACGTCTGTCGCTTCGGAGTACTTTTTATTACTATTTCAGTTTATACGTGTTGTACACAATGGAATATTTAATCGGACTACAGGGACGGGATTTTGTCCTCGTCGCCGCCGATAATGTTGCAGCTTCCAGCATCATTCAGATGAAACACGGTATGACAACGCGTTAGCTTAATATTAGCTGTTCTTTAGCTAAAACCGGTAGCATGTTTTCTGACTTCTTTGTTAAATTAAATTAGCATACTTATAAATAGTGCTTGTGGACTTTACTTCTTAAAATATACTGACGTGTATTATTGAAGTTTCCTTGTTAACCAGCTGTAACCACACAATGTGAACGTAACGCGAGCTAGCAATGCTAACAGTAGCTAGCATGAGATGAAGCAGCAAATAAATCTTTCTCTCTTTAATTTGCACAGTTTCCAGAATCAGTAACAACATGTGACGTTGAATTATCATTGCCATTAGCTTTCTCTGACTTAATCAAATCGAGTCTACATTACTTTGACAATTAAAGTTAGCACGAACTGACTAAGCAGACTGCCCACAGTGAAAGTGAAAGTCATTTCTGAGTGACGTTGCTAACTCTGGAAATCAGTAAATGGACACTTAAATCAAATGCAGCCTGCTAATGGTGTTCGTTCCTGACTTAAAGAAGAGGTTATTTTAAAGTGTCATATCTGTTCTGGTTAGAAAGGGGTCTGATTTAACTCACTGCGCACTGAAAGTTTGTGATCTGTTCAACTGGTGACAAGTTCTAGACATTGAGTTAATCTGCACCTTAGTCAGGAATGGCTTTAAAAGACAATTACCAGATAGCATGATAAGAGAAAGGTGAGCTCATGCTACTGCAATGTCAGAGCTGTAGCCTGAATATCCGCAAATCCACCATCAACAACCTCATTAACTCACCGTGTTGTAGATGTGACTCATCATAACTTATCATTTCTGGTTGTCATTTCCAATATATGTGGTTGCTTTGTGGTCTCTGTTCTGTTGTATTGGAATAACAAGTATTTATTTCCCGGTGACAAACAATTAATTTAACAAAATTTTACATGCTGAGTTTCTGTTTTTGTCCAGTAATAATTTAAGCACTCAGTGTTGCTGATGAATATTTGTTCTTTGTCTTTCAGACTATGACAAGATGTTCAAGCTGAGCGAGAAGATCTTGCTGCTGTGTGTTGGAGAAGCGGGAGACACGGTGCAGTTTGCAGAGTACATCCAGAAGAACGTTCAGCTCTACAAAATGAGGAACGGTAAGAACCTCAGAGACGTGAGGGAGTTAAGGCTGGATAACATAGCTAAAAACCTATGATAAAATGTTTAATTTCAGTTGAGATAGATAATTATTGTGAAATTTGAATCGCCTTTTTCTAATTATGATCAATAGGAAACCTGTTTGATTTGAATGTAGCTACTTTTGCCTATTTATCAAGGTAAACGGGTAATAATATCAACACAACAATGAAAAACACACACACAAATACATAAATTTGCACACATGAATAAAAACTAAATCAGGATAAAGGAACGCTCTCTTTGTTTGACAGGCTGTTGTGAGCTTAGGGAGGGAGCACCACTGGAATCTGTTCATGCTACTTTGCTTCGGTATCAGCTTGAATCTCATGCATTCAAGTAAAATAACAAATCAGACGGTTCTCTTATTGCTGCTGCTGATGTGTCTATCAACACTTAATGTCACTATCGTTTTATCGCCCAGGCCCAGTGGCGCTCTTATCCTTCTTTTCTTCAGAGGTTTCCAGTTACTGCCCAAAATGTCTCACGGTTGTAAAATTCACTAAATAAAGAAGCATAAATTCAAAACTTTGCCCCTGATGATATTTTCTTCTTCCCGTTTCTTAGGTTACGAACTCAGTCCTGCAGCAGCAGCGAACTTCACACGAAAGAACCTGGCAGACTACCTGCGGAGCAGAGTAAGTATCTGATACATAACACTTAGAATCCATTCATGATATGATCTTTTTACTGAACGGAAAATAGCCTGAAACAGAATCAGTACAATGCAGTATCTTGTCTTTTTAAATCTGAGATGTATCTGTGATTTTTACCAGGAGTAAAATCCTGAAGTATTTCCTAAAAACAGCTTTTTTTTGCAGCTTTGTGTGCACAGTAAAGGCTGTCCTCTGTGGTTTTTCAAAAACAAGAACACCTTCATACAATATATAGACGCAGTGCAGTTAACAGAGGTTTAATAGTTTGACTGTTGTACGAGTCGACAAAGGCACTTCTCTTTTAACACATTTACAAACATCAGAGCCTCCAGCATGGAGTTATTTTTTTGTTCTATTCCCACAAAAAGCGTCAGGATGCAAAGATAAAACATCACTTTGGAGTAATCCTTTGAAGAGATCCTTTAAAAAGCACAGGTTTGCATAGACCAAGCATCTTCTTTATAAACTTTATTGTGTTGTAATATTTGACCACATCCATTAGAAATTACTCCTCTTTATTGCCTTTGTTTGTATTTTTAAATTGTTCTTGAACTCATTTGTCCCTGTCGGCGCTGGTCATATCTGAGTTTTATTACTGTAAGAGCCACAAGCTTCCCATAAAGCAGTCACTATAACCTTTATTTTGTCGTTTTCTCCTGCCCTCAGAAAATGGACTATAATCATAACCGAAATAACTGTTTGAGGTTAGGAGCAGTTTTTTGTCTAATCCTCATACATACTTTAGCATCGAGAAATGATCTTTTTGTTGGTTAGCTTTTATAAATCTTCCTTCATTTTTGGTCCTCACAGTGTAAATCCAGTGTACTCTAATTATAGCAACATATATTTGATTGACAGCACGAGAATCTCTACAATTTTTTACCGTGACTGTAAATAGTTGATCATTTAGAAAGTCTGTAAGCCTAAATAGTTTTTACAATTGAAGGGAGGAAGACAAGAAATCAACACGTTGATACAGATTTAAAAAAACGTAGGCAGCCAGAAAAGTAATATAGAGGTTATTATTTTGCTGTTACTCAAGCAGTTTCTTGTCCATAAATTCTCCGACTGCTCCATATTTTATTCCAACATCCTTCTACCTGTGTTGTTTTTTTTTTCCCACCTCAGCTGCAAAGTCTTTCAACACCAGTATCTTTGTATATTTTCTCAGTTAACAAAACAGCAGCTAATTAATCCCATGTACCAATGGTCACCCTTAAAATTAAGCATATTCATCCTGGAGTAATGAGTGAACATACCTATAAATATTTTAATTTCTCTTTTTAAATTAATTACATCCCTCCGCCAGCATTTGCAATCTCATTTTGCTGTAGGGAACAAATGATAAAATCACCGGCTAATTCCAGTAAGTCCAAGTAAGAGTGGCCATATGTGGTGGGTTTACTCATCCAATTTAAAAGTGTGTTTTAGTTTCTGCTTAGGGTTCATGTAAAAACAGAAAATTAAAGCCTTCTAATTGAGTCTTTGCTGGTGCTGGTGACATGACACCGCCGTGACGCTTCGGAGAGCCGCTCTCACCGCGAAGCTCAGGTGGGAATCAAGTCCCTGCTGAAATGGTCCATGTGTTTGTGTCCTTATCAGCTCGAGTCGTCTCAGTTAAAGCAGCAGACCCGTTTTGACAGAACGGGTGCATTTGTCAGCTTGTTGTGAAGCCTGACTGAAGTTTCTCCCTCTGAGGTTTCACCACGACACCTGCAGCTCCGTCCTGCACAGGTCCTCTGTCGTCAAAACACTCGGTGTGTGACCTTCAGACTTCATCAAGCAAATCACGTCGAGGAGCCGAGTGTTTCTTCACGACTTAGTTAAGCTGAGATTTGCGGGCAGGAAGACGTAGCTGGCAGCTTATTGATCTGTTTGTCTGCTTGTTTCTTTATGCTGAGCTCATTTTTTGCAATCTGTGGTGCTCTACTCTTTGATGCTAGCAAGTTCAGGTTTTTACTTTAGGTTGAAACAAACAAAAAAATAGATATCTTGGTACAGGGGCCATTGGTTTAAAAGTCACTTTTCGTTCAATCTCAAAACTCCAAGTAGTTTCTGAGTGTGTTCTGCTCCTTTTTCTTCACTGTGGCCTCATTTTTCACTGCAATATGAAGCTGAATAGAAACAGCACAACCATGAAGAAGGAGGGAGAACAGAAATCAGAAACATTGATAAGGTCAGATGTATTTAATATCTTTGATTCTTGTCTTGTTTCCCCACTTGTCTCCTATCTGCCCTGCGTAAACAGGTCCTGCAGTTCAGCCGAATAGCTCCTGGATTTTTAACACGTCACTGTCGGTCACAGCTAAAGTCACGAACGGCTTCACGGTTGCGTCGAAAAATGTAGAATTTTTGTTTTTTGCAAAATCTGGATCTGGATCGGGATTATTTTGGGCTTTAAAAAAAAATAAAACAGAAAAAGTTACAATTTTAACCTATATTTTGGTATTTTCATGACCAAATGGTGCTTAGCATCAAGTAGTTTCAGACGGATAATTCAAAATCTGACGGATTTTGTGTTTTTTATAATTTCTGTGTCTGATTAATGGTGTGAATTTGGCAATTTTGTAAAGACAACACAACTTTCCAACCCGCCGGCAGAGTTTAGAGTTCAGAGGATTAACAAAGTGAAGTCAGCTTTATTTATATAAAATCACAGCTCACAAATTGACCTTGAAAGGGGCTTTAAAATCTACTGTCCTCAGAAGAAAATATGTTAATGTTAATGCATCAGTGTCAGAAAAGTGTTCTGCTCAGGAAACATCCAGTGCTTCGGTACCGGTTTTTCAAGAAGTAATGAGGTTCATAGCAAACCCTGGTGATGCATGTATGCAGATTTTTTTTAAGGGTTTGCATAAATCTATGAATTCTGTCGCTCATAAAAATGTCCGTTAAAATTTCCTGCAGCCTAAGATGACGTCTGCAGGTTCTAAATCCTGAGTTATGCTGTATTTAATGTCATATAAGACTAATGTTGGTGGAACCAGATGACACTTGGCAGTTTTGCTTGTACGACCGCTCGGCGTCACGATAAACTTAATTAGTGATATCGTTCACGTTTTCCTGCACATCGGCTTGTGTTTTCTGGTGCAGCTCGAGACGTCTCCGTGCGTCGCGTCCCGTGCACTAATGTGTTAAGAGTGGTGCAGCCGCTGCCTGTCACAATACGGGGTGAAAATAATTACAAAAAACAATTAGTGTGGCAGGGAAGGGAATGTGGGACACATCGAGCGGGGGATACAACAGCAGCGGCGGCGGCGGCGGCAGCAGCAGCAGCAGGAGTGGAGGTCTCTGGGGGAAACAACCCAACAGACAACACAGAGCGGAGTGTGAGAACGAGTAGGAGTCGACGCACACACAAACACAATGCACACACAAACACAATGCACACACAGGGACCTATAGGATCAGGATCGTTTTATTTAGTCAAGGTTGTACATGTTGTGGAGGATAACATTTATATTCATGCCCTGCCATAAGCTGCGAGTGTATCGTTATTTTCGTGCCTCACGGTGATGAATTTGGTTTTATGAGTGCAGGATTTAGTAATGCTGCGTTCTCAGGAGTGCTCAGAAACTGAAGCAGTAGCAGTTTCTCCTCTGCATCCCACACCTTCCTCCAGCTATGCTCTTCTCACATTCATCAACCTCCAGAGTACATGGACATTTGCAAATTATGTTGTATAAACAGGTTTTTATGGTGTTCTTTTTTTTTTTTTCCTCCCTCTCCCCCCCAGAACATCTTGAGTATGTAGAATATGTAATGCGTCTTGTCCATTTGAGTGTGAAGCCGAGAGAAAGATCCTCAACTGTTTAATATCAGGCTGAAGTGACGGACTCTTCGTTTAGCATTTTGAATTGGACCTGCCTCGTGTTATTTGGCTCAACGAGGATGTGTTTGAAATATTCAGTTTGGTTACTCTGTCAGGAGTTTAGAGCTCAGGTTAAGGATTATTGTCAATATTCATTAATTTGTGAGCTTTTTTTTTTTTTGCAATTGATCCGCTCGTTTGCCCTCAAGAAAATCAGCAAATATTAAAAATAAAGCAACGAATGTGACCAGCAGCTCAAAACATTCAGAATTGACAGAGTATACAAAGAAAAGCATCAAATTTTCACATTTGGAAACCAAAAAACCCTCATTTTCAATCCTTAATATACCTAATTTTATTTTATATTGCAGCAAATGTCTGAAAATAAGAATATTTCTTGCTGATTTATTCACAGCGGGTACTATCAAGGTGAAATGATGTAAAAGAACAATTTAAAATTCTAATTTTGGGTATGTGGATGTTACGTACAGTTTAGACCTGTGTTTTTACAGTTAGCATATAAAATAATACTTTATTTTCAGATTTTTCTGGATATCTGTTATTTACCAAGCTGGAAAAATGTACACAATGATTTTATAATGTGAAATATGCACATTTTTCCCAGAGTGAATTTATGCCAGTTTGGCTTTAAACAGTATCAATCAGTTGCTGCAGATTAATTCTCACTCAGTTCATCATTTCAGCTCTTTGTAATTTAAATAATAATAATGATCAATAAGCAGGCGTTTCTGCAGAAAAGGAGCCCTTCAGGAATGCGGTATGATAAACATATTAAATCCTAACTTTCAAAAAGTCTGCCAGCGTGCAGGATGAACATTGCAGGTGAACTCTGACCCAACAGGCCGCTTCCTCAGACGTGCATTAAGCCCATTCGTAGATAAAAAAAAAATCAAACAAAACAAAATGAAATGTAGATTAGCTGAAAAATGCCTGCGTTCACCTATTGTCTGGGAAACTAACTGCATATGTTGGAATACATTTTAATTAATCTGATTAAATCATCACAGATTAAAGTTTGGCCCGGACAGAAAGACGAGATAATGATCTGCTTTTGTACATCAAATGTCCTTTTTTTTTTTTTTACTCTTTCTACCATCCTGAAATCATCTTCTTACCCCCAACAAAAAAAATATATATAATGTGCTCGCGCTGCCAT